TGTTTTGTCAATATCAGTAGGGGTGAGCATAGGTCCGGCGAGTTTGGTTTTTGGCCGAAATCCCTGCTGAACCAACCAGGTTGGTTTATGTATGCAGAAAACCGACCACGCTGACACATGCTTATGCGGCCGACCGAACCGAACAGTCGGTTCAGTCGGTCGGTTTTGTTGATTTAATTATTCATTTTTTTCATTTTTTGAATAATTTTTAATTCATTTTATATTTAAAATCTGATTTTGTTGATGATTTGGGTTGGGTGTTCTTTTTTAATAGTTGAATTTTAACCGTAAAGTTATGAGAATATTTTCATAATTTTGAATATTTGATAACAATTAAACAATTAATTATGCTAGAATTGCTAGTTAATCAATATTAAAATGAATAATCAAATTCCAAATAATAATTTAAAATAATTATTAGTTCTACTCCTAATAGAAATTCAAAAGACATTAGATCCAAATTAAAAAAAAAGTACTTCCAAGTTGTCATCTAAATCTAAAATACGTCAATTCAAACATAGAAAATAAAATCATAGTCTAATACATAAGTCCATGTCCAAACATAAAAAATAAATCAACAACTTTTATATCACAAATATTAAATCACCAACTTTGAAAAATCTCCAAGTTCTTCAATGTTCTTTTCCTCGTCCAYAATCRCTCTGAATCCTATAAAATTATAGTCAAAGAAGAGAAGACGACATGGTTAGGATTTAAAAGAAAATATTTCCAAACAAATAAAATAAATAAAAGTAGAACCAATACCTTCTTCCATCATGAGAGCTGCCTCCAAGTGTTGATGAAGTTTAAGATCTATTGGGTCAGAGTTTAGCCAATTTTGAGTGCATATAAGAGCCTCCACAGTTCTTGGAGCAAACGAAGAACGATAGCAATCAATTACACGTCCTCCAATACTGAAAGCCGACTCAGATGCTACCGTTGATACTGGAATTGCAAAAATATCTCTACTAATTTGGCCAAGAATTGGAAATCGTTGACCATTCTCCTTCCACCAGTGAAGTATGTTGAAATTAGGTTCCTCTAACGAAACAAGAGCTTCCAACAAATACACATCAATCTCTGACTCGCTATTAAAAGTTGTAGTCTCTTCAGTTGAGAAATCAAGTATTAAATTCTTGCCTTCATCAAAATTCATATCTTCAACCATAGTGGTACTCGAAGAAACAATCGATGGTGTACTATGACTAGTACCACTACCATTGGAAGAAGTCAAACAAAAACTACTATAATGATGAAAGAGAGTTCTTAAAACAAGCTCCACTTTATCTATCATACTTTTAGATACATCGAGCCCTAACTTTCTGAAGCAATATGACAAATACTTCATCTTACTGCGTGGATCCAACACAATGGCAACATACAATAATATATTGGTCTTCTCACTATTTCCCCAATACTTGTCAAATTTAGCTTGCATGTTCTTAGCCATATTACAAAGAATTGGGTTCTAAGTCTTCATAGAATTCTTTTGTATGCAATTTTGAACTGTGCTAATATGATGATACATCAAATTAGAGGTAGTATACAAAGATCCTGAAATTTCHAAAGTGATTTCATAAAAGACTTTCAAGAATCGGACCAACATTCTAGCATTCACCCAATCTTCTTTACTAAGCCGTAAATTAGTCGTATAAGTAGGCTCTTCATCCTCTAATCTCTCAAAGGCCGTTTGAAGGTTAGTAGCAGCATCAAACATCATATATGTAGAGTTCCATCTAGTTACGACATCAAGACATACATAACTCTTACATGAAATTTTTTAAATTTCAACACATTTCCTAAATGTCATAGACCGTCCAGGAGAAGACCTCACAAATCGTACAACATTACGAATATGATCAATGCAGTTATAATGGTCCTTCAAAGCATCACATACAATGAGATTACAAGATCTAACATGCAAAAATTGACCATTCATCAACAATCCATGACTAAATCTCTTGATAAGGTAAGCGACAACAGTATCATTAGAACTAGCATTGTCAACAGTTCAATACCCCACTCTTTCAAACTTTTTTCCACCGCCTTACTAATGGTATCCCCTCTATGATTCTCAATTTGAAAAAAATTAAGGATCCTTTTATGTAATCTCCAATCAGAGTCAATAAAATGTACTGTCAATACCATGTAATTTATGTTCTGTCCAGAAGTCCAACAGTCGGTTGTAAGAGAAACTTTGTATTTTTTTTTCATGAAGATGTCTTTTAATTTTTTCTTCTCACTGACATATATCTTAAGAATGTCTCTACCTATGGTAAATCGGGATGGAATAATGAACCTAGGTTCAAGCAAATCATTGGTTGATAAACTTCCAAAAACGCCGACCCTCCACAAACTTAAAAGGTAATTCATCTAAGATAATCATTTCAGCTAATGCCCTTCGACAACTCTCCAAATCAAAAGACTCGCACACAAGTTTTGAACTAGAATCCTCAAAAGCGCCACTTTCTTTAGGTTTGAAAACCAATTGCGTTTGGGTTGGGTCTCTTTTCCTTTGGTACGAATATTTCTTACAATTATCCAAGTGATTTTTCATAGTTCCAATACCATTACGCTTTGAATGACATGCATATTTATTCTCACAATATTTACATTTAGCTTAGGGATCTTTAGGGTCACCATTCAATTTTTCAAAATGATCCCAAACTATAGACTGCTTAACATTCCTACGCTTTCTGGGTGGACTCAAGGAAGTTGCTTCATCTGGATCAATGCAACAACGACTTTATCTTGCTCAACGGTGTCGACAGTGGTAGTGGCTGTGGTTGGAGTATTTGTAGCATTTAACGATGACTCYGACGTCTTCATATTAACTCTAAAAATATAATATACAATACAATACAACAATAAGAAAAAAATAACAAATAACATTTATGTAAAAAAAATCCCGTATACATATTACATACAACAGACCTACATAATCACAGAATCATATATTACAGTATACAAATCTAAACTTCAGAAATTAAAACTCAAATATGAAAATATAATATACAATTAACAACACAATTATACAACTATAAGAAAAGAATAACAAATAATAATTTTGTAAAAAAAAAAAACCCTCGTATACACACACTATACAGTATTACAGTGAGTGTGAGAAATTTAAGAAATTGAAATTCAAATATAATACAAGTATACAAATGCTTACTCTCCCGATTCTGAATCCAGAGTTAATTTTACTTCAAATCTGTGATTCTAAAGGAAGAAGAAGATGAAGGGGGTTGGCTGGACAACGCAAAGAAGAAGAGAAGTCGTCGCAAAGAAGTATTACAGTGGGGGTTGGCTGGCCGGGTGGGCAACGGGTGTGGGCTGGACGGCGCAACGAAGAAGGGGCGACAAGCGTGGGTTGGCTGGGCGGCTCAAAGAAGAAGAAAATGAAGGATAGGCCGGTAGGGGGTTGGGCGGAGAAGAAGAAAATGAAGGGTAAGGGGTTGGGCGGCACAAAAAAAAAAAGAAGAAAATGAAGGAGAACCCTAGGCTAAAACACTGCAAGTGAGAACTGAGAAGAATAAAAAAGGAAAAAAAATTATGATATATAAATTCGGTCGGTCGGTCGGTTTWTTCGGTTAAACAGATTCTGACTAACCGACTTGTCGGTTCTGAATCAATCGACCATATGTGAAAACCGACTGACCGACGTCGATTTGGTCGGTTTCGGTCGGTCGACTCAGTTTTTCGGCAACACTTGCTCACCCCTAAATATCAGTATTCTCATCAAATTGTTTTTTCCTTTGAATCATTCTTTTCTCACAAAATATAGGTTGTATTTCCATATCATTTGCAATTTCCTTCGCTGAAATCATAGCAGTTGTGAATCCATTTTCTCTTTATTTTTCTAAAAATGACATTAAACCTTTCAAGTGATCCAAAACAGCGTTAATATGTTGTAAGACTTTGCTCACAGAATTTACAGCAAATAAGATATCATACCATATAATCATGCCTAACAATAATTCAAAATTTTCAAATTCATAAGTAGCTAAGGGTGCGTTTGGTTCATAATCAGAAAACAGAAATTTGAAAACAAGGGATTCAATGAAAATCAAAGTTGTATTCTTTGTTTTCAGTGTTTTCAGATATGTGTTTGGTAGCAGATTTGGTAATTGAATATCAATTTAAAAAATTGTTCAATGTTTGTTTAGCAATATATTTGTAAACTAGGAGTTACAAACTAAATTTTAGTTTAATCTAAACTTATATTAATTAATTTATTAACATTTCTTTTTATGAATTTTGTATAATTATTATTTTACAAGGTTACATAATTTACAATACATTATATTTTACATGTTTYCATTTAACAAGCATAAAATGAGTTTATAATATGAAGTAATATATTTTATCAAAGTTTTTATCTTTCTAATATAATTATGTATCTTAAAATTTTCAAATTTTGAATCTGAAAACACCGAAAACATAAAAAAGACGTTCTCAAAATTTCTACTGTTTGGATCACAGAATTTGGATACGGTTTTCAGAAACAAATCTCAAAAATTCTGCTAAACACCTATTCGCTGAATCCATTTGATTCAGTGAATCTAAAAACAAAAAACGGAATTCGAGTGTCCAACCAAACGGGCCCTAAACAATTAGCTTCACTTTTTACTTTTGGATCTTCACTTGTTTCTCCTAATTTCAATAAAGATCTCTTATTTGAGGGGCTTGAAATCTTATTGCTTGAACACTTTCAATTCGACTTTCCCATTGTGTTTATGACAATGATTTGATAGTCAAATTGGTTATGTGATCTAGCAAGAGTTTCCATCGTTTTGTAGATGAAGAAAATAAAGAATAAATACGTTGCAGAACTACAAAAACTGTCATTGCTCTATGACATGAGCTAGCCACATCAGAAAGTACTAGATTGAGATTTTGACAACCGCGATGTGTATAAAATGTCCTAGGATTTATTTCTAATAATCTTTTTTTACACCTTGTTGTTTTACTTTCATATTAGATACAGTGTCATATCCTTATCCTCTTATATTAGATATATCAAATTTAAAATCCTTAATTGCATTTATATGCACATCAAATAAACCTTTTCCAGTAGTATCTTTAACTTTTAAAAATTCTAAAAAATATTCTTGTATAGTTATTGGACTTGTAGCAATATCAACACACCTCAATACAAGAGGCATTTGTTCTTGATGACTTACATCAGGTGTGCAATCTAATATAACTGAAAAATATTTTAATTCTTTAATTTTTTCAATAATTGTATTTTTTATTTCAAGTCCTAATGGTTGTATGAGTTCATTTTGTATATTATGCCCAAGATAATGATAATGAATTTCGTTATTTTGAATATGACGAACATGTTCTTGCATTATTGGATCAAATTCTGCAATCATTTCAATTAAGTTTAAAAAATTTCCATTATTTTTTTGATAAATTTTTTCATTAGTTCCTCGAAACGCTAAATTATTTTTAGCAAGATTTTTAACAACAACAATAATTCATGTTAATACTTTATTCCAATGATATTTTTCTTTATTAATCAATATCTGAATATCTTTGTTAATTGTTTTATTTTTTAACAATATAATTTTWAGATCAACCCAAGCATTCGTATTAAATATGTGTTCATCATTACTAGATTCATGACTTTTAAGTCGAGAACTAAGATTTTTTCAATCTTTAACTCCTTCATTCCCTAATTGAACCACATTCGATTAAGTACCAAAAAAATTACAACAAAAACAATAAACTTTATCAAAATCCTTTGAGTAAACTAGTCAATTTCGCCCGTAGATAATTTTTGAGTATAATGAATATCAGAAAAATGTCTAAAATTTTCATCTTTCGGAAAAATTAAATTACTTTCTCTAATGGGACTTTTTTCTACCAGTAAATCAATTAACCTAGAATCAATGTTGTCCCATCTTCATGGATCATATTTATTATATTCATAATGCATCATACCTGTCTTACTATCAATACTAATATTATCAGTGTTTTCTTTTGTTTTTCACGTTCCTCATTGCTCTCTAGTTTTTTTCATGATTAAATGCTTTCATTTTCAACAATCATATCATTGTCTACAATTTTCGTTTCATCTATTGATTTGTCTACACCTATCGTTTCTTCTATTATTTCATCATTTTTATTACTTTTACTTCCAATAAAAAATTTATCGAGATCACATTTTTGAAATTCAATTAGTTTTTATATTCTTCTTTTTTTTTAAGCTTTTCATATCCAGATTCATATTTTCTTGTAGACATATTGATATCATAAGTAAGCAAATCTAAATAAATATTACTGAGAAATCTACAATAATATGAAATAATTTATAAAAGAATAAAAGAATTTGAATGAAAAAACTGGAACTTTGAACCCACTAGGTTGAGTTAAGGAAATAAGAAGTTTTGATTTTTGTTCTAGCAATTGATAATCTTGTGAGACACAAGGAAGAACCAGTTGAAAATTTGAGATTTGAGAAACCTTGAGAGTGAGAGGGGGAGAGTACTAAGATTGAGAGAGAGGGGGAGATCAATACTTAGATTTAGTGAGTAGCAGATAATATAYTTATGAAATCTTYTAGAGAAGTTGAAAAGTTTTGATTAACAAAATAAAAATATAAAGAAATATGGAAGGTCTCCCACTCTCCCAACGTAAACTTGGGACAATTTTGAGGAGACTACTAATGAGTTGAAATTTTCTAAGAAAATTTAAAAGGAATATGAATAAAAAAATTAATGTTAACCAATTTGAAATGTAATTTAATTAAAATTGAAAATTTAATGAGCCTGTTAATTATTATGGTTTTTTTTAGTAGTCTGAATTTTTAATATTATAAGAAAAAATTTATGAAAAGTAATAAGTATATTCTTTTATATTTTAATTTATAATTTTTAATTAAAAATTAAATTAAATCGATATCATTATTCTATATTATATGAAAAATATGAGGCCTTCCTAGAACGGGGGCCGATCGCCTCGCTCGCTTATAGCTTAAGTTGGTCCTGGTGTTGCGCCATTTTTGTGCCACGTGTTACATGCTACATTGTAAGTCTTCCTTCTTGCACCACTCTATTCTTTTTCAATCTGCACTAAAATAGCAAAGTTCCTTCGTTTTCTCCTTAGTTGCACTATTTTTTTTAGCTATGTTTCATCATATTTGTGTTGTTTTGCTCCTGGGTTTAGTTTAGTTTCTCATCCTACTATTAAGCCAAGTCMTTTAAAAATAGAAGGACTAAGAGAAGATTATAAGCTAGCGTATCAGAGAAGTTAAACAATCCATAAATCAAAGAGGTTAGGTCACAGTAGACCAAAAGAATGGATAAAGAAGTACATATAGGACCAATCACACCAATCACACGTTTAATTAGAGAAAGCAATAAAGACAAACAATATGTGGCATATCACTGTGTCATAACATCCCCCCTCAAACGAGACATAGCAGCAAAGGCAAGGCCGAGTTTGTCACTAAGAAACTAAAACCGGTGATGTGATAGAGACTTGGTCAAGCGGTCGGCCAGCTGGTCATGTGTTGAGACATGCCGAATGTGTAATTGGTGATGAAGCACTTGATCACGAATGAAATGAGCATCAATTTCAATGTGTTTAGTGTGCGCATAGAAGACGGGATTCGAAGCCAAAGCAGTGGCACTGAGATTATCACACCAAGTAATGGGAACAGCAGCTAAAGGAACTCTTAATTCGTGGAGAAGTGACTGAATCCATAGCAATTCACAAGCAACATGGGATAGCGCACGATACTCTGATTCAGTGCTAGAACGAGCAACGACAAACTGCTTTTTGAAAGACCATGAAATAAGAGTGGAGCCGAAAAACACATAGTAACTACCAACAAAATGTCGATCATCGGGGCAACCAGCCCAATCAACATCCGAAAAACCCGTGAAAGTGAACCGTGTAGTGGCTTGTATGGAGAGACCCATCGTAAGTGTACCTTTAAGGTAGCGTAACACTCTCTTAAGAGCTTGCCAATGTAAGTCAGTAGAGGCTGGGCAAAATTGACTCAATTTATTTATAGCAAAAGCAATATCGGGGCATGTGTGAAGCAAATACTGTAGCGATCCCGATGTGCTGCATGCATAGGCTGGCCATGAGAGAGAGAGAGTTGTTTACCCGCAACAATAGGAGAGGGCGCTGGCTTAAGATGATGCATACTCAACCATGCACGAAGCTCAAAGATGTACTTGGATTGAAATAGCAATAAGCCTGTGGTACTTCTTTGAACTTGAATACCAAGAAAATAATGCAAGGAGCCAAGGTCTATGAGAGCAAATACAGATTTGTAACTGGTGGATAATTTGATTGACCAATAGAAGACTAGATATGATATTATCCACGTAAATTAGTATAAGAATCATAAGACTGCCTTGATGAAATATGAATAAAGACATGTCAGAGTGAGATTGGACAAATTTCCATTGGAGAAGAGTGGTGCGAAGGCGATCATACCAGGTGCGGGGAGCTTGTTTAAGGCCATAAACAGCCTTAGACAATTTACACACGTGATGAGGCTTAAATGAATCAACGAAACCCTTAGCTTGTGTCATAAACACAGTTTCTTGGAGATTGCCATGAAGGAAAGMATTGATCCCATCTAACTACTTGATAGGTCATTGTCTCGTAACAAGTGTAAGAACAATCCGAATAGAGGAAGGCTTGATCACAACGCTAAATGTCTCACTATAATCAATGCCAGGAGTTTGAAGATAACCCTTAGCAACCAGTTGCGCTTTATATCGCTGAATATTTTCATCAGCATCACGTTTAATTTTATAAACCTACTTGGTGCCAACAAGTGTTATTTTGAAAGAGAGCTGTGAATTCTTCATCCATAGCCTTAATCCACGCTTTGTGGGTGAAGCATCATTATAGGCAGTAGGTTCAATAAGGGAAAAGTCAGGTTGTGTGTGGAGTTGAGAAATGCAGCCAAAGAATTATTTAGGGCAATGTACACCAGTTTTAGCCCTTGTAACCATGGGGTGATTATTGATAACAGTTGGGGTGGAGACAATTTGTGGGGAAAGGTGGATAGTTTGTGTGTTATGAGTTAAGGGAGTTGGGTCAGGAAGGAAGGTTGAGGCAACTATATCAGTGACAATAGGGGAGACAACGGGTGAAGAAGGATCTGGAAGATTTCTGCTATCATGCAATGATATGGGAGAAGTATTAAGATGATGTCCAATATGAAAAGCTACATCTAAATGTCCTAAAGCAATAGAAATTGGCAACCATGACAGTATAGAATAGCCGGTAGAGGATGTGGTAGAATCATTCGAAGAAAAAAGCKGTTGAAAAGGGAAATCTRTCTCATTAAAATACACATACGAGAGATGTAGGTTTGACCAGTAGGACTCAAGTATTTATAACCCATATGATGATCATTGTAGCCTATAAAAACACATTTTTCAGTGTGAAAGTCAAACTTATRCTGCTTATAGGGTTGTAAACAAGGATAGCATGTTGACCCAAAGGCTCTCAATATAATGTAGTTGGGTGGTAGGCCTTAAAGAATCTGAATTGGGCTGATATTATCAGTAGTTGGGGAGGACATTAAGTTTATAAGAAACACTACAGTATGAAAAGCTTCCCACCAAAAGTTTAATGACATCCTTGCTTGGGTAAGTAAAGTGAGGCCAGTTTCAACCAAATGTTGATGTTTTCGTTCTATTCTTCCGTTCTGTGCTGATGTATATGGACAAGTGAGTTGAATATGTATTCCTTTTCCTTTTCCAAACTGTATCAGTGGTTTAAATTCCCTCCTTCATCCATCCTAATGATTTCAATTCTAGTATTATACTTATTCTCCACATGAGCTTGAAACTATTGGAAAAAGTATGTGGCATCTTCTTTGTGTTTCAAGGGATAGATCCAAGTAAATCGACTATGCTCATCAAGTAAACCTAGATAGTGTAAGTTTCCATTTGTAGACTTGATTGGTACAGGACCCCATGGGTCAATATGAACTAGTTCAAATGGTTTACTTGCTCTGGAATCAGATAGAGTGAAGGGTAATCGATGAGACTTGTCATATCTACATGTCTCACAAAAGTTCAATTTGTCATTACTTTTCGTCAAAATATTACAATAAGTCAGGATCTTATTTAATATTCTAGATGATGGATGACCCAATCTATGATGGCAAACATCTTTTGTACAAGACAAAAAAATAAAACTGCTTGGAGTAGTCAATTCTCGTTGGCAGCTAACATTTCCTGACTTTAGCACCATGACAGACAACAAAAAAGCACCAGTAGCTGAAGCCCTATTCTTTTGGACTTGGTTTGAGGCATTAGAGAATAGGTCCAACTGATAGAACCCGCTCCTAAGTCTTCCTTCCACTATTGCGTGCCTCGTTGCCTTGTCCTTRACAACATAGAGTAAATCATAAAATTCAACAGTCACAACATTATCCTTGATAAGCTTTGAGATGCTGATAAGATTCTTTTTCATCTGTGGTACATGTAAGAGGTCT